TGTTGGGATTACTGGCGTGAGCCACCGCTGAGCCAAGTCGTAGCACTCTGATGGCTGCCCTGACTCTGCTGTGCACACGGTAACTGCGCCCACCTTGCCTTTGATTATTAACTTTAGTCACTTGGTCCCTGCTACCTTGAGATCTAATTATCCTCATCAGAGTCAGGCTTTCCGATTCTTGCTCCATCACCCAGGCTGGAGCAGCTCACTGCAACCTCACCTCCCACGTTCAAGCAATTCTCCTGCCTCAGCCTCCTGAGTAGCCAGGAATTACAGGCACCTGCCATCACGCCTGGCTAATTTTTTTTGTCTTTTTAGTAGGGACGGGGTTTCATCTTTTTGGCCAGGCTGGTCTCGAACTCCTGACCTCAGGTGATCCGCCTGCCTCAACCTCCTAAAGTGCAGGGATTACAGGCATGAGCCACCATGCCTGACCTAATCTTTGTATTTTTAAAAGAGCCAGGGTTTCACCACATTGGCCAGGCTGGTCTTGAACTCGTGACCTCACATGGTCCACACAGCTCAGCCTCCCAAAGTCCTGGTGTAAGTTCTGACCTAGGAGGAGAGCGACTGTGACACAGCGATGCGTGGACACAGATACGGTTGATGGAGACCAGCTCGTCACACAATCCCAGCCCGACGAAAGAGGGGATACAGTAAGCAACTGTATCCTCAGCGGACCTCAGAGCCGACGCAAGTGCAGCCTCCTCGTCACAGACGCGAACCTACACAGACACGCACCGCCTCTACCAAGGCACGTGTGACAGACGCCACCGCTCAGCGACACTCACATACCGAATTCAGCAACAGGACACGCGGGCGGTGGCTCCAGCCACACCACCGTCCCTCCACCACCGCCCACGACCACCACGTTCCAAGTCCGCAGGCCCAGAGGACACACGCCGACCGCAGCCCCCACGCCCCGCCCGCTTGTTCCCTGGGTCCTCACCCCCACGACCCAGGTTGTCCCCGGACCAGGGGCCCTTTCTGCTCAGCTATGCCCACCTACCTTACAGCAGGTCCAGCGGCGTTCCTCCTCCCAGGAAGCCGGGGAGGTATTTTTAGTTACAATTAACCTCCCACCCAACTTCCCTTCTCTCCAGGCACATCCAATTGGTTTAATTGGAGAGGATTACGTTAAGGAGAGGCATTTCCAGGTTCTGGGGAAAGGGGGAGGAGGGGAAGAGGGGAGCTATTCCCTCCCCGACTTCTCAAGTGTCGCAGCTGCTGGGACCCCTCCCCTCACCAGGCAGGGAACACAATGAGCAACTCTCTCTCCTCTCACTGGACCTCAAAGCCTTGGCCTGCCCCTGCCTCCCCCCACCCCCGGCTTCTCCCCCCACCCCCGGCTTCTCCCCCCACCCCCGGCTTCTCCCCCCACCCCCGGCTTCTCCCCCCACCCCCGGCTTCTCCCCCCACCCCCGGCTTCTCCCCCCACCCCCGGCTTCTCCCCCCACCCCCGGCTTCTCCCCCCACCCCCGGCTTCTCCCCCCACCCCCGGCTTCTCCCCCCACCCCCGGCTTCTCCCCCCACCCCCGGCTTCTCCCCCCACCCCCGGCTTCTCCCCCCACCCCCGGCTTCTCCCCCCACCCCCGGCTTCTCCCCCCACCCCCGGCTTCTCCCCCCACCCCCGGCTTCTCCCCCCACCCCCGGCTTCTTCCCCCACCCCCGCCTCACCCCCACCCCACTTGCCTTCAGGGGAAGGTGATAGTTTGAAGCCGTCTACCCATCACTCATCCCACTTGAGTCCCAGGGAGTTTTGGGAGTGATCAACTCTCCTCATAGAAAAACAGTATCAGGCTGGGTGCGGTGGCTCACCCCTGTAATCCCAGCATCTTGGGAGGCCGAGGGAGGCAGATGGCTTGAACCCAGGAGTTCAAGACCAGCCTGGGAAACATGGTGAAAAGCCATCTCTACCAACAAATATAAACAATTAGCCAGGCATGGTGGCGTGTGCCTATAGTCTCAGCTGCTGGGGAGACTGAGGAAGGACAATTGCCGGAGTGCCGGAGTTGGAGGCTGCAGTGAGCCGTGATTGCAGAGTGAGACCCTATCTCAAAAACATTAAAAATCAGGCCAGCTGTGGTGGCTCACCCCTGTAATCTCAGCACTTTGTGAGGACTAGGTGGGCAGATCACTTGAGGTCAGGAGTTCAAGACCAGCCTGGCCAACATGGTGAAACCCTGTCTCTACTAAAAAGTACAAAAATTAGCCAGGTGTAAGTAATAATGTGCACCTGTTGTCCCAGCTACTTGGGAGGCTGAGGTATGGGAATTGTTTGAATCTGGGAGGCAGAGGTTGTGGTGAGCTGAAATTGGGCCCCTGCGCTCCAGCCTGGGCGACGGCGTAAGACTGTCTAAAAAAAAAAAAAAAATTAATTAAAAATCAGAATCTCAGGAAATTCTATTTTAAGAAAAAGAGGGCTGGGCACAGTGGCTCATGCCTGTAATCCCAGCACTTTGGGAGGCCGAGGTGGGCAGATCACCTGAGGTCAGGAATTCAAGACCAGCCTGGCCAGGATGATGAAACCCCCGTCTTTACTAAAAATACAAAAAAATTAGCTGGTCTCTCTGGTGGGCCCTTGTAATCCCAGCTACTCAGGAGACTGAGGCAGGAGAATTGCTTGAACCCGGGAGGCGCAGGTTGCAGTGAGCCAAGATCGTGCCACTGCACTCCATCCTGGGCAACAGAGCAAGACTCCGTCTCAAAAAAACGAGGCTGGAAGTGCAATGGTTAGTGCCTGGGCCCTGGAGCCAGGCTGTCTGGATTCAAATGGAGTCCAGCCCTACAATCTCCAGCTGTGTGACCTTGGACGAGCCACTTCACCTCTCTGGTCCTGCTTCCTCATCTGGGAAATGGGGACTGTGATGGCACCCACCTCCCAGGGCTGCATAGGGTTTAACAGATTCTCAGGTACCGTCCTAGAACAGAGCCGGGACCCAGCCCTCACTGGAGGGCCCCATAAGATCATAAAAGTGGCAGCCCATGCTCTCATCCTGTGCCTGTTCTTTTTGTGACACTTATCCCCCTTTTTTTTGAGACAGAGTCTTGCTCTTGTCACCCAGGCTGGAGTGCAGTGGTGCGATCTCAGCTCACTGCAAACTCCACCTCTGTTTCAAGCGATTCTCCTGCCTCAGCCTCCCAAGAAGCTGGGATTACAGGTGGGCGTCACCACACCTGGCTAATTTTTGTATTTTTAGTAGAGGTGGGGTCTCACCATGTTGCCCAGACTGATCTCAAACTCCTGACCTCAAGTGATCTGCCTGCCTCGGCCTCCCAAAGTGCTGGGATTACAGGCGTGAGCCACTGCGCCCGGCCTGTCCTGGGATTTTGTTCATTCACTTGTCCACTCAGCAGATATTTTCTTTTTCGAGATGGAGTCTCACTCTGTTGCCCAGACTGGAGTGCAGTGGCTTCATCTCAGCTCACTGCAGCCTCCATCACCTCCTGGGTTCAAGCAATTCTCCTGCCTCAGCCTCCTGAGTAGCTGGGATTACAGATGTGTGCCACCATGCCCTTTTAATTTTTTTGTATTTTAGTAGAGACAGGATTTCACTGTGTTGGCCAGGCTGGTCTCGAACTCCTGACGTCAAGTGATCTGCCCACCTCAGCCTCCCAAAGTGCTGGGATTAAAGCCGTGAGCCACCGCGCCTGGCTGCGTGTGGCGTATCTTCTGTGCATCCTTTATGTCTGTGTATGTTTCCGAGTGTCCATGTGCATATTTGCATGTGGGTCTGCTTATAGCGACGTGTGTGTCTCTGTGCGAATCTCTCCACCTGGGCCCACCCAAAAGGGACTCAGGGGGTCCAGGAACACATTTTTCATGGCAGTCTTCAAAAACTCACACACGTGCCCCTTGAGCCTTGATAACAGAGCAGCAGTGAACATGGCTGGGGGTGCCAAAGAGACTCAGAGGTCCAAGGATGGATCCAAGGAGAGGGCGACGAAGGGGGTGCATGGATGGCGGAGGGGCTGAGGGGCGCTAGGGAGAGGGGCCTAGAGGGCAGTGAGACGAGATGAAGCAGCCGGAGTCCGAGGGAGAGAGCTCACCTGGACTCTGAAGAAGGGAGAGGGAGGCCCTGAAGATGTGGGTTTCCAGTAGGGAAGGGGACAGAGAAATACAAGGAGCGAACAAGATAGAGACAGAGAACAAGAGGGAGAGAGACAGAAACAGGCAGGGGGACAGTCCACACTCGCCTTGGTGGTCTCTCTCTCTCTCTGGAGTGTGTGGGGGGGTCAGAGGTCTGGAAAGCTGAGAACCCCAAGAGACTCACATTGCTTTCTGAACCTGTTTTCCTGGTTAGCCTCTGCCTGTGATGGCTGCTTGCAGGCGGGGCACGGTTCCCCACGTGTCCCTCGAGACACCTCCACCATCAGCGCAATCCTAGAAGACAGGCACGGCTGCTCTCCCCATTGTCCAGACGTGGAAACCGGGGCCCAGACAGGTGAAGTCATAACCTGAAGTGCCACAGCTGTCACCTTCCAGAGGCGAGATTCGAACCTATGTCCATCCAGCAGCCTTGGAAGTGAGGGTGTCCATGCCTAACCTGCTCATTTCCCACAGGACAGAGGACGTGGAGAGCCACAGCTGGCAAAGTGACACACCCATGGCCCTGAGACTGCATTCTCCCTGGCAACCACATTTCTTGCAGTGATTTTGCAGCTCCCTGTAGTTAAGAGGTGGCGTCTAGGCCAGGTATGGTGGCTCACAGCTGTAATCCCAGCACTCTGGGAGGCTCCCGAGTAGCTGAAACTGCAGGCATGCACCACCACACCCAATTTGTTTGCTTTTGTACAGATGCGGTCACACTATATTGCCCAGGCTGGTATTGAACTCCTGGCCTTAAGTGATCCACCCACCTTGGCCTCCCAAACGGTTGGGATTGCAGGCGTGCGCCATCACGCTTGCGCCCGGCCAATTAGTATTCTTACTCATGATTAATGAGCTTCAAACTGGTAAGAATTTGAAATCCTGGAATAGACACAAACACTCCAATTGGTGGCTTTGTGTTTTTAAGACTTTTATCATTAAAAAAAAAGAAGAAATTAGAGAGGGGAGGCGGGGGGACAGGAGGGTGAAGGAATCTCTCCAAAATGTCGGATCCGGGCAACCCTCCTTCCCTGGCTGCCCAGCCACCCCTGTCCCTTCTCTGTCCTGGCGGTGAGGCCCCAGCTGCCACCTTCTGGGGACCAAGGCCCAGGAGTCCAGCGTGGGTCCCAGGCAGAGGTGAAGGCAGAAGTGGGGCTCAGGGCCTGCAGGCCTTGTCGGTGTCCTTGAGAGCCCCTTGGGTGGGCAGTCAGGCCCCCATGTCCCAGCAGGGCCCTGGGGAGGTAGGCGTTGAGTGGAGGGGCCTTTGGAGGTGGGGTCCTGAAGCCAGAGGACCAGGTGGGAACCAGAGCCAGTGTGAGGCTGGTGGTCACAGCGGAGGCTGGATCTGTGGCGAGGGGAGGAGAGGCCAAGTCAGGAGCGGGCAGAGGGCCTGGCCCCACCCCAGCCCGCTGTGCAGCCCTCATCAGCGCCCACGTGAGGGGGACACAGAGTGGCTGGCGGGGAATGATGCAGGAATGTGGGAGGGCCACAGAGAGAAGAGATGCAGTGATGAGAAAGAGGGAGACAGAGAATCAGAGCAGAGGCGAGGGTGGGAGAGAGACCCAGAGACAGAGAGACAGAGAACAACAAGGACAGAGACGGGCAGAGTGGGACAGAGAGACCTGGAGGGGTCAGAGAGGACGACGTGGGGAGAGAGAGAAGCAGTCATACAGAAATGGAGAGATGGAGAGAGAGAGGAGGGTGGGCGCAGTGGCTCACACCTGTAACCACAGCACCTTGGGAGGCAGAGACGGGGATCGCTTGAGCCCAGGGGTTCAAGACCAGCCTGGGGAACAAAGCAAGACCCCCGTCTCTACAAAAACAAAATAAACATTAGCCACGTATGATGGCGCACACTAGTGGTCTTAGCTACTTGGGAGGCTGAGGCCAGAGGACTCCTTAACTGGGGGGGTGGAGGCTACAGTGAGCCATGACTGCACACTGCACTCCAGCCTGGATGACAGGGAGAGATCCTCTCTCTAAAAACAGACAAGGGAGAAGACAGCAGTGGAGAGACAGACAGAAGCAGAGAAAAGAGGCCAGGGGGTAGCCAGGCCATGGGTGAGAAGCCCCTACCATGACGACTGAGCCCAGAGATCCCTGACACTCTCCCAGACCATCCCCACACATGCTTGAGCATGCCAGAGCTGAGTCACCCACTGTCCTACCCGGCCTGGACATGCCTGCCTGTCCCTTCTTCCCAGGCTCGGCCCCCAGCACCCGCCTCCACACCCAGGCCCTGGGCAGGCCTCCGCTCTCATCCCCGGGGCCTTTCTGCTGACCCTGAATTCATTACCCACCTGCCCGGCTGCCTGCCTCAACCCAGCCCATGGAGAACTTCCTCCTTGTGTGCAGGGGGCCGGGGCTGTCTCACAGCCCTGAGATTCCCAAGCTCTCCTGGCCTTGGCACATGCTATTCCCTCTACAGACACTCCTCTCCTGCCTCACTCCTCCCATTCTCCTGGTCTCACCTCTGAAGTCCTCTCCCCCAGGCAGCCTTCCCTGAATCCTCCAGTCTGGGTCAGATGCCCCCTCTTCCAGGAAGCCCTCTCTGAACACCTCCCCCAATCCCAGGTCCAACGCCCGCCCCTGTGACCTCCTCCGCTTCCTGGGCTTCCCCATCCCAGTGCTGCCCATCCTGGGTCATCACCATCTGCAGATGGGTCTGTCCCCTTCACTGGACTTTGTGCCCCAGGAGGGCAGGGCTGGGGCTGTCATGGTCACTGTTGTGTCCCCAACATCACCCAGCACAGGGCTGGGCACAGAGGGGCTCAGGGGATAGATGGACACTAAACTAAGGAGTCAGGACTTTGTCCAGACGGCACTAGGGAGCCACAAATGGTTTAATCCAGAGAGAGTCAAACTCTGATCTGTGCTTTGGAAACGCCAGGCTGCCTCCCCACCCTGGGCCTTTGCACATGCTGTTCTCTCTGCTTTTGTAAGCAGGGTAGACCTGTGCAAGTGACCTCTTCTCTCCAAACCTCAGTTTTCTCATCTGTGAAATGAAAATTAGGCAATAGTCTTTTCCTTTCGGAGTTGTGGTAAAGACTAAATGAGAAGATGCTCTAAAGTGCTGCCATCATACCAGGCCACAGGAGACTCATGGCCTGGGAGAGTCAAATGATGCCCCCCTCCTAACACTATCCCCTACTCTGCCCAGTGGACTCCTATTCATCCTTCAGGGCCCCATTCAGAGGCCACTTCCTCCGGGAAGTCTTCCCTGATACCCCATTCCCTCCTATGGGAAAACTGTTTTATTGTTTGAGCGGTTGCACTGGATTGTCTCTGGGGTTGCCAACTTCCCCACAAGACCAGAATCTTCTCAAGATCCAGACCCTACCTGAGGCATGTCAGGAGGGAATGAAGGCTCAATTTATGTTTGGAGATGTATCATAGATGGATGGGTGTAGGGATGGATGGATTGATGGATGATGGGTGGTGGGTGGTGAGTGGGTGGATATACGAATAATGGGATGTGTGAGTGGACGAGTGAGTGCGTTGATGGGTAGATGGGGGGATGCCTGGGTAGGGGGGTGGGTGAACGCACAGATAAATGGGGAGGTGTGTGGATGGTTGGTCAGTGTGGAGGCAGATGGATGAGTGGGCTGGTGAGAGAATAGATGGATGGGGCGAGTGGGCGAACGTGTGGCCGGATAGTGAATGGGTAGGGAGAGGACTGGATTTGGATGGATGCATTGTGGGTGGACAAGTGATGGATGGACAACGACATGGACAGATGGGTGAGGAGGTAGATAGATGAATACATGGAGAAGAGAAATGGGGTTGGAGGGGTGGAGGGATGGAGGAAACATCTTCCCATCAAGCCTCAGAAAACCCGCAGTGCAGGGACCCAGGCTGAGCCTGCTCTGGGTGTGCCCACTCTTGGAGTCCTGAGGTCTTATGGAGGTTTGGGAGCTGCACAGTCCCCAGCCCTCGGACACTCACGCCTCTATAAATAATGCCAGTCTCCTTCCAAGTTCAAACTCATCCCCACTGGTCCTGGAAGACAAAAAAGGAACGTCAGTGGGTCCTTCAGAGACACCCCAAATGCCTGGAAGTCTCCCCCACCTCTTCCTTCACCAGGCGATCCCTCTACCAGGATAGACTGAGTCATCTTTTAAGAAGGTACTGGCCCTTTTAAGAAAAAATGGAGCCTTGCGAGGTGGTGGGCTTGAAGTCTGGAAGAAGTGAGGTTGTAAGGAAAAGGTAGGAGACCAGGAAATCTGCCTAGGAAGGTGGCACACTGTATTCCGCTTGAATTGAATCTCAGGTGGGGGCGTCTTTGTTTCAGAGGTGGGGCCAGGGGCGGAGGGGCGGGGCTGGTGAAGGGCGGGGCCTAGCTAAGGGGCGGGGCTTACCCGGAGGCCCGACGGCCACATGTGGCTGCGTCTCGGTGTAGCCCCCGATGGGCTGGCCCTCTGGGCTGAAGGCTGCACCCTGCCCTGCGAAGGGGGTTGAGAGGTACAGGCTAAGCCCCAGGAAGCCCGGGGCCCAGCTTGGACGCCCTCCTAAGAACCCCAGGCTCTCCGTCCCTGCCTTCCCCTGTACCTGTGCGGTTGGATTGATCGATCATCGGTTGCACGATGCGTCTCCGGGCGTTAATGAACCTGAGAGGCGGTCAAGGAAACGGAGTTGGGTGAAAAGAGGGAGTGGGAGAGGGGCCGAGACGAACGCAGAGCAGGCCGGGCGGAAAGGACCACGGTGTGGAGGCAGGGCTGGGCGAGCAGGGGCAGAGGCTCCATGGGGCTCGGGGCCTCCGTCAGCACCGCGGACAGCGCCCCGGTTCCCACCCCTGGCTGGCCCACGGACCCTCCTGGGCCACTCACCAGTTGTTGACTTGCAGGATGGTGAGCCCCGTGTCCTGTGCCAGCTGTTTCTTCTGCTCCTCCGACGGGTACGGGTGCTGCGGCCACCAGCAAGAGTCACTCTGCCTGCCTGGCCGGCCGCGGTCTGAACCCCAAAGTCTGACCCGCCGGGGTCCCAGGGATGGGGCGCCCAGGGGAGCTGGCGCGTCTGAGCGTCTCTGCGCTGCCCAGGATGGAGGCCAAGCGAGCCCCAGACTTGGGGCAATTACATGCCTGTGAGCACCCCCCCTCCCCCCCCTTCCAGCTATTAGAGGTTAATTGGCCAGCTCTGATTAGAGAGACCATGCTGGGGGAGGGGACTCCTGTGGCGTGGGGGAGGGGGCTTCACTGGCATGGGGGAGGGAAGCAAAGCCCAGACCCTCCCTTTCTAAATCTGTCAAGAGTCTCTGTGTGGGCCTCTCCCCATAAATTTCTCTTTTTTTTTTTCCTTCAATTCCCCTTCCTTTTTTTTTGAAACAGGGTCTCGCTCTGTCACTCAGGCTGGAATGCAGTGGTATCTTCATGGCTCACTGCAGCCTCAGCCTCCCTGGGTCAATCAATCCTCCGGCCTCAGCCTCCTGAGTAGCTGGGATCACAGGTGTGCACCACCATGCCTGGCTAATTTTTTTTTTTTAAGACAGGGTCTTACTATATTGCCCAGGCTGGTCTCGAACTCCTGGGCTCAAGCGATCCTCCTGCCTTGGCCTCTCAAAGTGCTGGGATTACAGGTGTGAGCCACTGTGTCTGGCTCTCCATTTCTCTCTTTGTGGCTCTCACATTTTCTGTCTCACTCTATGTGTGTCTCTGTATCTCTCTCTCTCTCTCTCTGGGATTCGGTCCCTCCCTGCCTCCAAGTCTCTGTCTGTCTCTGTACCTCTGTGACTCAGCCTCTCCGTCTCTATCTTCCTCTGACTTGGTCCTCCCCAAATCTCTGTGTCCCTCTGTTCCTGGCTCTGTTTTTCTCCTCTGTCCTTGAGGCAGTGTGGTGCAGTAGTTAAGGCCAGACTGCCTGCCTTTGAATCCACTTCTGGCTGTGTGACCTTACGCAAGTCTCCTAACCTCTCTGTTCCTCTGTCTCCTCCTTATCTGCTAAAAGGAGATAACAGTAGCCCCTCCCTCCAAGGGTACGTTGGGTGGATGACTGATGGGTGGGTTAATGGACAGATGGATGGTTCGTGGGACAGACTTAGTCAGTGAAATGTCCCGAGCAGCACCTGCACACAGGTGGCACTCACTGCTGCCGGCTCCTGTCACAATTCTCCACGTCTGTGAGAGTCTCTCGAAAAATTTCCTGCTGCCTCAGTGTCCCATTTCTGGGTGTCTCTGGGTCCCAGTCTCTGTGGCCCACCCTCCTCCATCTCCCCACGCCCACCCTGCACCCGGGCAGCAGGGCTCTCACCGAGAGGTGCTGGAACAACCAGGCTCGCATGATGTTGGTGGCCACCTTGGGGAAGATCCCCCTCTTCTTGTTCCGCCGTCGCTCCTGGTCCAAGTCCTCACCTTCCTCACCAGAACTGGGAGAGGCTACGCCGGTGTCCAGCCCATCTCCTGAGGGAGGGCAGTGAAGAGTGGGGGACCAGAGGGCCCCAGAACTCTCCCCCAGGACAGCACTCCACACCCCAGGCATCTCTGCCCCTCTGGAAGTACTACCTGTGATCTACCTTCAATCCTCTGGTTGACTTCCCTGTTTCCCCTCCACCTCCTAAGATTCTCACCTTGGTCACTGGAGTTGTCCCCACTCTGGGAGGCCAGGCCCCCGCTGGATGGGCCCGGGGTCCCCAAATGTATAGACCTGCTGTCCTCGTGGTCTCGAATCCATGTATTATTCTATAAAACAAGAGTCAGAAGTTAGTGCCAAGGCTTGGGGCATGGGTTCTGGAGCCAGGCCTGCTGGATGGGAAGCCAGTCGCTGCCTCCTTCCGAGCTGTGTGATCTCAGGCAAGTCACGTCCCCTCTCTGAGCCTCTGTTTCCTTCCTTGGAAAATGAAGGACAGGACGGGGTACGGTGGCTCATGCCTGTAATCCCAGCACTTTGGGAGGCCGAGGATCACCTGAGGATCACCTGAAGTCAGGAGATCAAGACCAGCCTGACTAACATGGTGAAACCCTGTCTCCACTAAAAATACAAAAAATTAGCCGGACGTGCTGGCAAGTGCCTATAATCCCAGCTACTCGGGAGGCTGAAACAGGAGAATTGCTTGAACCTGGGAGGCAGAGATTGCAGTGAGCCGAGATGGCACCAAGGCACTCTAGTCTAGCCTGGGCAGCAAAGTGAAACTCCGTCTCAAAAAAAAAGAAGAAACACAAAATGGACAATAATATTCCCGACGGAGTGTGGGCAGTATTCAGGAATGACTTCATTACATAGAAGCTCAAACAAGATGACCTTACACCGTCTAGGGTATCTTATCTAAAATCCCTGGGGCCAGGCCGGGCACGGTGGCTCATGCCTATAATCCCAGCACTTTGGGAGGCTGAGGCAGGCAGATCACGAGGTCAAGAGATCGAGACCATCCTGGCCAACATGGTGAAACCCCGTCTCTACTAAAAATACAAAAATTAGCGGGGGTGGTGGCAGGCACCTGCAGTCCCAGCTAGTTGGGAGGCTGAGGCAGAAGAATTGCTTGAACCCAGGGGGCAGAGGTTGCAGTGAGCCGAGGTCAGGCCACTGTGCTCCAGACTGGCGACAGAGCAAGACCCTGTCTCAAAAAAAAAAAAAAAAAAAAAATCCTTGGGGCCAGAAGTGTCTCACGATTCGGAAAATTCCACATTTTATTTTTATTTTGAGACAGGGTCTCACTCTGTTACCCAGGCTGGGGCATAGTTACGTGATCTAGGCTACTGTTGCCTTGGTTCAAGCGATTCTCGATTCTCGTGCCCCAGTCTCCTGAGCAGTCAAGTAGCTGGGGTTACAGACGCCCACTACCACACCTGGCTAATTTTTGTATTTTTAGTAGAGACGTTTTGCCACGTTGGTCAGGTTGGTCTTGAACTCCTGGGCTCAAGCAATCTACCCGCCTCTGCCTCCCAAAGTGCTGGGGTAACAGGCGTGAGCCACCGCACCCGACCCATTTCACATTTTTAGGCAGTAAATCTGCGCATACATCATGCAGTTTGCAACCATCGCAGGCGCAGGCAGGGTCTGGGGCACAACCTCATCATCAAACTCATTAACATTTCTACAGCAACACGGATGAATATTTAACTAAGTGGCATATATAAAGACTTTAACTAGCCCCTCATTAGTTCAGGTCAGCTTTTGCTGCCAAATGAGTTTGCACTAAATTTATGGGATAAAATCCAAGATTTTCAGTTTCAGAGATTTTGAGGTCTCAGATTTGTAGCTAAGGGGGTCTGGGGCTGTATTATCTTTTTCTTTTCTTTTTTTGAGACGGAGTCTTGCCCTGTCACCCAGGCTGGAGTGCAATGGAACGATCTTGGCTCATGGCAACCTCCACCTTCTTGGTTCAAGCGATTCTCCTGCCTCAGACTCCTGAGTAGCTGCGATTACAGGTGTGTGCCACCACGCCTGGCTAATTTTTTGTATCTTTAGTAGAGATGGGGTTTCACCATGTTGGCCAGGCTGGTCTCAAACTCCTGACCTCGTGATCTGCCTGCCTTGGCCTCTCAAAGTGCTGGGATTACAGGTGTGAGCCACTGCTCCCGGCCATCACCAGGTGCTACATTTTTCTGTTTGTGACTGTAGTTTGAGGGTTCGGGTGTCTCATCTGCACACTGCTATGATTCCTGTGCAAGTGGGTACCAGCCTCTGGGACTTGGCCAGGCACAGTGGCTCATGCCCACCACTCTGGGAGGCTAAGGAGGGCAGATCACTTGAGGTCAGGAGTTCAACACCAGCCTGGCCAACATGGTGAAACCCTGTTTCTACTAAAAATACAAAAATTAGCCAGTGTGGTAGCAGGTGCCTGTAGTCCTAGATAGGAGACTGAGGCAGAAGAATTGCTTGAACATAGGATGCAGAGGTTGCAGTGAGCTGAGATCACACCACTGCACTCCAGTCTAGGTGACAAAGTGAGGCTCCATCTCAAAAAAAAAAGACCGAGGCTCCAGGACTATGGGTGTGTCCGGCTGTGGGGTGGTCGTCACGTGTGTGTATCCAAGGCTGTGTGGGGTGGGTGTGTGTGCATGTGCTGTGAGGATGTCACTGCCGGGTGTGCCGGCAGCAGGACTGCATGGGTGTGGCTCTCGTGTGACTTTTTACGCAGCCTCAGCGAGCTGGGATCCACATGGCTCTCCCGTGTGTGTTTGCTGTCTGGTGTCCTAAGTGGGTAAAACTAGTGAGGCTCCGACTGACACGGCGCCACCTCATTGAGTTGCTGGGTTTGATTCTGTGCGGCCGCATCTGAGCCTATGAGTCTACTTCCAAGTCTGCATGGATGGGTGGTGTGTGTGCCATCTCGGCTGCAGCCCGCCTGTTACGTGGCCAGGGTCACGTGTGTGCAAGAGGGCACCGTGGCCAGTCTGGGCCGAAGCGTGCCTGTATCTGAGTTCGCCGGGCAGTGCCTGGGGCTGTCTGGCTCTGTCTCCATCTGTGTGGCTGTTGTGTGGCTGGAGTGGGTGTGCGTATGCGGTGGACACACAGGTGCTCGAGAGCGGGGTGCGGAATGCGGCCGTGTTCCATGCTGCTGCTGTCCAGCTGGGATGTGTGTGTGAGTTCACGGTAAATGCTGCGTCCGGCTGTGAGCGGAAATGGCTGTTGCTGAGCTGGTGTGCCCATGTGTGGACCTGTGTGGATGTAGCAGAGTCTGTGGGTGGTGCCTGCAGCCACTGGTGTGTGTGTGTGTGTGTGTGTGTGTGTGTGTGTGTTTCCCCACCTGCGTGGCTGTGTGCATATGTGTGCGTGTGTGTGTGTGTCCCCATCTGCGTGGCTGTGTGCATATGTGTGCCCCATGATCAGGCCGACTGTGGCCCCATCTGCAGCTGTGTGGTGCGTGTGCGCCCTTCTGTGGTGTCCAGGCATGGCGGTGGCTGCAGGATGCTGCATGGCACCCCCCCGGGGCCCACCTGGTCTGGGAGGCTGGGGCACGAGGCGGGGTAGTCCTCGAAGTCCTCCCTGCAGCCGCCGTCCCGATCCTCGATGACCAGGTCGATGGGCATCTTTCCCTTGAGGCAGGTGATGTAGCGGTGACAGAAGTTGTCGCACAGGTCGTGGACCTGGGGGGGCACCGGGGTACTGGGGGGGGCCACCCGGGGGTGCAGGGCTGGGGTGCACAGGACTGGGGGCGGCATTCTGCTTCAACTCCAGTGGGGAGAGAGCTGGAAGGTGGGGGGTGGAGGTGACAAGAGGGGGTGGGATGGGGGGTCAAGCAAGGGGGTGGGTGTGGGGGGGGTGAGACGCACTCACCTTCTCCAGCTCCAGCAGGTGGAACCGCAGTACTTGGATGGCCTGGATCATCTGAAAACAGGGATGGGAGGTGAGGGGAGACGGAGGGAGTCGGGGGTGGGAGCAGGGAGGAAGGAGGAGGAGGAAGAGAGGAGAGACAGAGAAATAGAAAGAGTGAGATAAAATGACCCAGACAGGAGACAACAAGGTCAGCAGGCGCAGTGGGGAGAGAGAACAGAGACGGGGCGGAGCGAAGGACAGAGCCAGAGCGGCGTGGCCGGAGGGAAAGACAGAGACATTAGAGAGCGACAGGCTAGGAGAGACAGGCAGGAGGCGAACAAGGGCCCATCACAAGGGCAAGAACGAAGGTGAGCCCAGCGGCCCCTCAGCACCACCGCCTCCGCCTGCTGGCCCCCAGCTCCAGGCCCACCCACCACCTGCAAGCCACATTTCCCAGAGCCCTTTGCCAAAGCGTTTGGCCAATAGGAAGCCCTGGCAAGAGCTTGGGGAGCAAAGGACGGGAGAAGCCAGGCTGTTTCCCCCTCCTTTCTTGTCTTCTTCTTCTTTTTATTATTATTATTATTTTTAGAAACGGAGTCTCAGTCTTGTCACCCAGGCTGGGAGTGCAGTGGCACAATCTCAGCTCACTGCAACCTCCACCTCCGAAGTTCAAGCGATTCTCCTGCCTCAGCCTCCCAAGTAGCTGAGATTACAGGCACCTGCCACCATGCCTGGCTAATTTTTGTATTTTTAGTAGAGACAGGGTTTCACTATGTTGGCCAGGCTGGTCTCGAACTCCTAACCTCGTGATCCGCCCACCTTGGCCTCCCAAAGTGCTGGGATTATAGGCATGAGCCACTGCGCCCCGCCTCTTCTCTCTCCTTTCTCCCTCCTTCCTTCCTTTTCTTTTTCTTTCTTTCTTTCTCTGGAGCTGATGAAGGCTCACTGCAGCCTCGACCTCTTGGGGCTGAAGCGATCCTTCTGCCTCAGCCTCCCAAGTGCCTGGGACCATAGGTGCGTGCCACCACACCCCGCTAATTAAATGTTTTCGCAGAGATGGGGTCTCACTACATTGCCCAGG